TATACTATAAAGTTGAGATTATATGAGTTGAGAGTATATAGATTACACTATGATCGTTATTTGTAGCACTGAATGGTGTACTTTTACTGTGTTCCACTGTATTACCATAAATGAATCACAAACATCAGTGTATTTGGTAAAGGTCGTAAAGTAACTGATGTTTCCTTAATCAAACTGTACATTTTAGTAACCTCATTTGATTTGCTCGTGTTTAGCTTTTCCTGCAGATTTCATTGAGTCCAGCATTCCTCTTGGGGTAACAGGTATCATTGACAGACATGGTTTGGTCTAGATCCTTGCTCAGTACCATTATTCCTTGTCCTGGCCTGGATTTAGATGTTCACATCATGTCCTTGTACAAAGGTTTATCAACATTCCCAGTGCTCACACAGCACTTGGCTTAGTTGTGTGAAGGCACCCCGATGAGGTACTGCAGCTTTCCACAGCTCAGAGCAATTTAGGTTCAGTGGAACAATGTGGGGTGTTTGAACACCATCCTTATTCCTGTTGGACGCTCACAAGATTAGTTTAACTGGGGAAAGCAGGCTTTTAAATCCTGAGGCACATGAGGGTCCCTTCAGGAACCGATGGGTGGCTTCTTGTCCCCAGTGTCCTGCCAGAGCAGAGCGTGTGAGGCTGAGCTGTGTGCTGGGACACTGAGCAAGAGGATTCCAGAGCTGCACTGGCCGCAGTTCTGGGAGCGTGGGCACTGCACCCCTGCATCTGTTGTCAGGGCTTTCAGGGGGATCCCAGGAAGCAGAGAAACAGAGCCCTGTCCACACTCGAATGTCAGTGATGCTGCCCGGGCCCTGAGGACTGGTGGTCTGAGTGTGTGTCTCAGAGCACAGACTGCCCCCAGCCTAGGGCTGCCCGATGCCATGGGAGGACGAGTCCCACAGGGAAACTGAGTTACGAGCCTCTTCACTGATGTTTGGCCAGGCTGCTCCTATCTGTGTCATGGCAGCCCCCTGTGCTGCTCTTGGGAGGGGAGGATGAGGCAAACCCAGTCAGGTGTCAAAGTGCTGACACCAACCTTCCTTATACCCACCCCAGCAGTCAGAAGCTCTCCCCAAGGGAGGCGTTTAGACATGTTTCTAAAACTGCAGAGACAGTTGATTAATGACATCCTGACAGGTATCAGTCACTTGGATCCACTCTGACAACTCTGGAAGCACTAAAGTACAACTGTCCAAAACAGTAAGTAAATGAATTACAGCATATGCATTAAAAAGAGACTCTGCCATGGGAGATTACAGCTAAAGCTCATGTTTGCCATAGACTGTGAATGCAAAACCACTCTGTTAAAAACAGGCAAACAAAAAAAGACATTAAAAGCTATTACAAAACCCACAGCACTTTGAAATCAGAACTATCCTACTAATTTTTGCCAAAACAGCTGACTCAGCTGACAGCCTCAATACCATCACCTGCCTAGATATGTGTAGATCACCCTAAAGTCAAAATGAGTCATGATACTCAGTGGGTTAGAGTAACTTACAAGCCTGGAAAATATTTAGTAATAAAGAATTCCTATTCTAGGGAAAAAAAAGTAATCAATTGCTTCAGATTTTCAAGGAAAATGACAAGAAATTCCAAAAATAAGAACCCATTTTGTGTGGTCATCTGTTTGTTCACCCTGCATAGCATTCCTAAAGTCTTACCTGTTGCTTCCTGTTTCAAGGGTAATAACATAGAGATGAATTAAAGTTTTTGGCAGACCTTGTAGTGGGATAGAAAAAAACTTGAAATACCTTCACAGTCCCTTCCCTGTCTTCCTCAGAGCACATTCAGAAATATCTTACTGGAAAAGTAAATTGAAGTAGAATTGAACTGTAAGCATCACGGAGTTACTAAAACTGTGGTCATTTAATTTGCATTAAACTACAGATGGGGTTTAAGAAATATTTTAACAGGAAGCCACATCTATAGGCAACAAATAGAGAAATCCAGTAACAAACTCTGCAGCACTGTGCATGTAGATTTACTGTAACTGTGATTTGCTTGGACTGTCCATAATGGCTGCAATTAAAAGGCTGGCAGTCATCAGAGGAAAAACAGGAGGTCTCAATCCATTCATTGATACTCACATGGATCCTTAGAAGCCCCATCTTGCTCAGTGCTAAACTCTGGATTGTCGTTGCTGCAGAGCTGAACCATAGATCTTTCTTCCCCACTGGCTCCATTTTCAGTAACACCCATCTGCACTCAGCAGAAACTGCTGGGTTTGAGAAACAGGGAATAAAAACAGCAACAAACCCTCCCCTGCTCTTCCCCATCCCTGTCAAACCATGGGGCTGTGCGCAAAGGATGGGCTGATGCTGCTCTGGGGCAGGGTGGGGGATGCAGCATCCCTCACAGCTTTGTTCTTGTTGCCTTTGATTTAGGGCCAGCTGCTTTTTCTGTGGAATAACTGTACCTGTTCCTGTGTGAACAAAACGCAGCCTCGTCGCCTGCATGCCCACAGCCCTGCTTTGCTCTTCCTCGCTGCCCAGGGGCCTGCAGCACTGCCAGGCTGCCAGAGGACAACACACCACAGAAGCCCCAAGGCAGCAGGTGCAGGTTTTGCCATCTGAGCACTTGTTATTCACTAACAGCATCTGTGTGTGTTGGTATTTGAGCACTTTCCCATTTCTTGCAGCCCTAGTTCTCCTTGCTGCAAATTAATATTCTCACAACAACCCCTCTCTAATCAGTCTTTGCTAAAAGCATTAATTAAGACTTTAACATTTTTGATCCCATCAATTTTCTGTTCTCTTATTAAATAGATGTACTAGGGGAGTTTGAATAGTAACTGCCCAAAGTTTGGGGATAATGAATAAATTAACTTTGCCAGCCTCTGGCTAAGCATGAAATTTACTGTGCAGTAACAAATGGAACAGAGGCAGCTCATGCATTAACCAACCCAGTTTTGACACCGAGTTTGGGAGCACATTATTTACTCACTAATTCTGAGTGAGGCTGGGCTCCTGCATGGTTTATGCAGGCAATGAAAACTGCCATGGTCAGACAGTCTCCTGTGTGCTCCATCACAGCAAGAGGCCGCTCGCCCGCCTTCCCTTCAGTGGGGCCCTGGCGTTGTGCCGCACACAGGGATGCTGTGGGGACCACATGCGGCCTCTTCCGGGGAGCACACAGGGAACAGGTAAGTTTGCTTTTTACTTTCCAAGTCTTGGTACTTTGAAGGTCACCTGTGCTGTACAACTGCTTTTGTTCCATGTTTTTTCACATGTACACGGCTTCAGCACTGGCTCTGTTACACCACTGTAAATCCATTTGTTTTTGTAGCAGGCAGTGAATTTATAGCAGTGTAACTGTGAGCAAACATGGCTGGTGGCACACGCTGGAAATATTACAAGGAAAAGTGCAAAGTTCGATTGATTTTCTCTCAGGAACAATGTGTGTTTCCTTATGATTATATTATAGACGACTCGGCTCTGGCCCCAGCTGCCATCACTCACTTCCCAGCCCAGGGCTGCAGCTTTGCTTGGTGTGCTGGCCCCATGCAGGACAAGAGCTGTGTCCCCAGGGCCCCCAACCATAGCACTCTCTGCCCACCTCCACAGAGCACTGCAGGAGACTCGCTGCCTTCCTCTGCCTCTGCAGGCTGAGCACTTACTCCTAATTGATTCTGACAGCAGACACCACAACGAATGCAGAGATTTATGAAAGAGCAAGATTTGCCACTAGCCTCTGTCCATTAAGGGTACAGCAAAACCTCACTTTGCCCTCTGTAAATACAATCAGCAGCAGAGAGGCAGTTGCCCTTTTCAGAAGAGCGAGCACTCAAGGACAGATGTTTTATCAGAAGTCCTCAACACACTCACAAGCAATAAGCTTCCAAATTATTTACTTTTTGCATCAAAATGTTTCTCATTCCTTTAAGTGCTTTGTAAAGACCAGTTATGGTACCAAGAGCTGCAGCCTCCTCTTTAGGCAGTTATTTCCCCTGCACTACACAAATATGGGGCCACCCACTGGCTGTGTGCTTTGCAAAAAATGCTGGCCCAGATGTGGAAACCAGGACCCAAAACCCGGAGAACTCATTCTGCTATTTCTGAAGGCTGAAATATAGCAAAGTGAAGGTACAGCCAAGTTATGGCTGCTCCCTTGCTGAAGTTATCCTGTGTGTGCTGGGAATGAGTGTGCATGCGTGCAGGATGCCTCTTGCTCTTGTTAGGATTTTGTTAAATCAAATCCTCAGATTATTGTTTAGTATTTGTGAAGTTTTATAGTGAATTAGAGTGTAAGAATTGTTATTCCTACTGTGGTACACTTAATTCTGATCTCAAAAAGGATAAGAAAAAAAGTTAATTTTTAGTTGCAGATTTAGTATTTTTTCACCCTTAATGTGATGAAAGTCTAAAAAACCTTGATAATTCTGTTCCTGCCGCTGCACAACCAAGTCCCAGTTGCTGCCACATCCCTGTGCAGGAAACAGGCTACAACACCAAGGGAAGGACAAGTGCAGGATGATGTATTTCCTTCCCTGGTTTCTGTATGCAGTTCAAGACATTATGTACTCTGTAAGTAATGAAACGCAAGTATCAGAACAAAAGAGGTATATTTACTAAGAGACCATGCTGGGGAGGGCTGCAGCTGAACCACAGACACTGCACTTCTTCAGACATCAGCCTTTTCTCTACATAAACTCAGGCAGATTTTCTTCCTCTTGTGAAAAAATGTGTTTGGGTTCTCTTCCTTAGGAGGAAGACAAGTCACTGAGAAATAATTCACTGCCCTTGAGGAAAGGCAGCAGCTGATGAGGCACAGTTCAAACCCAGGTGAGTTTCACGACTCAAAGGATGAGAGCTCTGGTGACGTTCCACACTCCACGTGTAGCACTGCTTGAGTAACTGTCCTTGAGCGTGTTCCCAGACATGAATACTGAAGCTGATTCACGCACGGTCCTACATGGAAATCTTGTTTTCCACCTGTCTTTTCAGGTTACTGAAGACTCGCCCTCCCAAGCACATGGAAGCCAAGCACCATGGTCTTCACCTCTGATGCACTTCCAGCTTTGCAACCACTACCTCCCCAAGCTTTATGAAGAGCAGTTCCTCTTTTTGTGGGATGATTATGGATTCCTCAATCCAGGGGATGCTATAGCTGCCATTAAGGGGATGAACATCCTTATGAAGACTTTAACACCTTTGGTGAGTCTGCCTCAGCACAAGAGGACTTTTATTACTGCATTGTAGTAGCAGGTATGAAACACAGATGCCTTCTGGCTGACACCCAGTGTGATGTGAAAGGCACAAATCCCTCACTGTTACTGGTAGTCCTAGAAAAGCAAATTCTGACTATCTGAGGAATGGAAATTCCTTTCCTGCGCTCCTCCTAGAAGACCTTGGGTATGAGGTGATGCAGTGGTATGTCCTGCTTCTGTTCCACAGCTTCTGCCAGCAGAGTCCTGCTGGCGCAGTGGCTACCCCCATTTCCACATTAAGGCCCTTTCTGAAATGCGACACAAATGAAAGGATAAGAATCACAGGTAGCAGAGGATATTTCAAAGTACTTCACTAAATTCATCTGAAGAAGGTCATGTTTCTTTACCAAGTTATCCCATTATCTCACTTAAACCCCAAGCATTCTGGAACGGGAAAATAACTCCTGTATTTACTGTAAAAAAAGCCTTTCACCCCAGTAGAGGACACCTCACTTGGTAACACAAATGACAACTATGTGATTTTGAATATCAGGTCCAGCCCTAGGGAATAAACACTCCGGGTTGATTCATTTCTCTTTTATTTTTTCAAGGCTTGATTCACCTTTCTTCAGGAGGCCTGATGAAAACCACAGCAACTTACCTTGAGTGCTCTGCACCATGCCCCTGTCCACCTGGCCACATCTGGCACTCATAGCCCAGAGATAACTGGTGTGGGCACAAGGAGATGCAGCCCCGGCTGGTGTGTCAGCACCCTCTGCAGGGTTTGGCAGACTGTAGAGGGGTGCAATAAGTAGCTGATTTCACTTCAGGTTTGTTTGTGATGCACCTTTCCTCACTTGTCTGTACTGCGCCAAGGCAGGGAAGGGACACAGCCCTGATGCCCTCAGGCTGCTCCAGGCACAAGGAAGGGGACATGCATCTGGAGAAACTTTATTTCAAAATCTTTTTATTCAACTGTTATCCAGCAATATACAATACAGTTTATAAACAAACGTCTTACCTTGTTTCCAATCATCTTCATTTAAAAATAAATATTATTGACAGTGAATATTAATTATGGTAAGATGTACCTTTTTAATTAAAATGTCTCCAAAAGAAATAATTTAATTAAAAAAGAAAAAGGAAATCCAAAAAACCTAGAACACAACAATCTACTAAAAATATTTCCTTTTTTAGGGAAGGCTTTGACCCAACATCTTTACATATTGTGGTAACTGCTCAACAGTTCGTGCAAAATGAAGAGTCAGAGGGAAGGTTTAGAAAAGAAAAAACATTACATTAAAACAGAGAAATCAAAAGTGCCATGCACAGAGCAGGGCTTTACACCAGAGAGTCTGGAAACTAGATGCATTATTCTAAGTGGTTTATTTTCTGTGACATCCCCAAAAATATGTTTATCCCCTACAGAGAACTGGTCATGCTGCTTGCAGTCTCTTTCTGTCCATCTTTAAAACCGCAGGTATTGTTTGTCAGGAGTTTGTTCAGGTTTAAATAGGTTCTTGGCTGCAGAGAATGGAGGAAGCAGTTGATCAGTGGTTTACTAACAAATGTACAAGCTGATGCAGTAGTAAGAGGGCCATATAGAGGAGTGGATCTGTAGCATAACTAGGTCCTGTACCTAGAACAGAAAGAAGGGAGAAAGATTTTATTCTTTATCTTGTCTAATATAGAAGATTAAATGCAGAAGAGAAATTTAGATTTTTTTTTTATATCACTTCAGAGTCAGGGGTCAGAAGCGTAATTTTAATAGTAAAACAGCATCCTCAAGCTATCCAATTCAAATAGCTTTCTCTTCCCCCTCCCAAATCTCACTCCACTTAGGGCATCTCATTATGCATTACTAATGGTACGCCTAAACTTGGCTTCAGCCAAGTTACTAGCAATTGAGATTTCTATAAATACACCTTAATCTGGCATATAGTTTCTTGAGAAATGGCAGGTATCAACCACCCCCTACTTCAAAGGGGAATGACAAATGCTGCAGCTGTACTCCTTGATTAACAGGACATGAGCACATTTCATTTGGAATGGGAACAGGAAGACCTTGACGTCTTCTTTGCCTTTCACAGGAAAGAGCAGAATTTTACATTAAAAACGTGCACAGGAGGTGCAAGACAAGAGTGCAGTGGGACATAGCAGGGCGTCAACGTCCACATCCATGAAGGACAAAACGGCTCCAGCTCCCTCGAGGTGAGGTTCTCTGGCACAGAGTGGCCTCTGTGGCCATACTGCAGCTAACCAGGCTGTCCCTGCCTCACAGACACACTGAGTACTTGTTCACCAAGAGAGGCATTTACTGTGTGTCATCCCGGCCCAGCCCCTCTCCCCTGCTTGCAGGAGGAGCTGGTGCCTGCAGTCCTGACACCACCAGCACAGTGACTGCCGATGCAAAGTGTGAAAGCATTTTGTGCTCAGTATCTCTGAGAAAGGAGCTGGGCCTCGTCTGAGGAAACCCTCTTCAGGCACCCTTATGTGAATACTTCAGTTGGTCTCTGGAGCTGTGAGTCTCCCTCAGCTGTGGCATGACCAAAGGACATACGTCAAGCAGCTCTCAAGTAACCCGCTGCTCCTGGGCTGGCTGTTCCGCCTGCCCCAGCCTCTATACATGCCTCACCAGCAAAGCTGGGGTATTATTATCCAGCATAAAAAATACCTGACATTAATGTGGTGGGTAACTGAGGAACTCCCAAAATGTCCCCACAGCGCTATCTTACATGCCTAGACTGTGTGGAGATTACTTAGTTATTAAGGTTTTAATTAAATCCTTGCATGCACAAACACGTGGCTAAGGGCTGCCTATGTAGCCACAGCAAGGCATTAAGAAGGGTGCAGGATTTTTCTTTTTAAAGCTGAAGATCATTAACAAACACAATTAACGCGGGTAACTGAAGGAGTAACTCGCTGAAGTCCTGCCATAAGGACAGCAGAAGTGTGTGCAGGGAGGTTCACCACAGCTGCTGCAGCTCAGGGTCCGGCCAGCACACGGGACAGAGCATCACCAGCCCGGGGTGCTCAAAAAGCTCCGCTCGTCCTCCCTGCCCCAGGACCCGGCCCTGCGGAGCCGGGGTGCACGGGGGGCTCTGTCCCTGCATCCCCTCCCTGTGCCGGGAGGGTGGGTGAGACAGCAGGAGCCCTGCCTGTGCTGATGCCAATGCTGCACACCCTCTGCCAGCCTGGGCGCAAACAGGGCTGTGAGAGCCCTTCCCCAGCCTCGGGGACCTCCCCCCTCCATCAGAAACAGAGTCGCTTCACAAACACATCGTACCCTTTCCACAAGGGTAGAACCCCAGCAACGTATCCCCCTGCACCAAGAGAGAACAGCTTCCTCACTGAGCAGGCTGAAGGTGAAACCCCCTCCTGTGTCTGTCTGATGGGCTGTGTGCGCTCGGTGAGAGGCTGCTTGCTCACAAACGGCAGCACCCACACAACGACCCGCGCATCCCCGTTCCCAGGCTGTCAGACGGCTCCTCTCACTCCCGGGACACGGCACAGGGGCTGTCACCATCCCCCGTGCCCGTTCCACACCTACCCAGCACCGCAGCAATGATCGGACCCCGCATATTTATTATGCTCAAACCCGAGGGCAGCGAGAGCCGCTGCTCCCCTGATCTTGTTCTCTCCGTGAAGAGGACTGGAGCGGGGGAGATGCCGCTACTGGAACAAAACTGCGCCTTTGTGCAGGGGAATCCCCTGGAAACGCTCAGGAACAAAACCTGCAGAAACGGGCTCCTGTGGCTCAAGCACTCTTACACCCATCACGCTGGCCGTGGTGGGTCAGGGTTGTTTCTGTTCTGAATGGGAAGCAGCGTTCATCACAGCTCCATGCAGGAGCTGTGTGCTCATTACCAACACCATCCCCATGACAGGTTCACCTTCAGGTGCCAGTTTTAGTTTAAATCTCAGTGCAGAACTGGGAATTAATGCAACAGTCTGAACTTTTTGACTTTTCTAGAAATTGCCATGGTTTTTAACCTACATTCTCCATCTTCTAATGAATTCAGACTCTGTTAACAATCTCAACAGTTAAACAAAATAATTTACAAATTTACTTGAAAGCAATTATTCTTACTGAACACCAAATGCAAGCTTCTTTTTTTTCCTACACTTACTCAGTGTTATTCTCCTCCAAGAGTTCAGGCAGTAGAAGCACACACACACAGACCTTCAGAATTCTCCCTCTGAATATAATTAGACAAGGAATGTAATTTCCAGTGACTTCTCCCTGTTTAGTTAACCCAAACCCTTCTCATTATCCATAGTATTGCTCATAAACAGGCTGGACTTAGTCTGGTCTTAACGTTCACTGAAGGAATTGCTCCCCTGTAGATATGAACAAACAGCATGTGGTGCTGAGCACCAGGATCGTGATGGGTCACCAACCTCCATCTGAGACCAGGGAGTTTCTACCCAGAGACTTTGGACTAGCAGCACACAGTTCCTTACAGATGCTTACAAGAAAATATTTATACTTTGAATATTCATTTTGTTATTGCAAGCTTACTTATCACAACAGAGATTTCCAGTTTTGCTTTTAGATCATTGATATGCACGTGGCTAGAAGGGAAGCTCTGACACTAAGCAGAACAGTAACAGAACATCCAGTTCCTGGATGGTGAATTGCTCTCTGGCATCACTCATCCTTCTTTTCGATTTACAACATGTTTTACTGTAGTTTTCTATTTAGTAATTTGTTTTGTGTAAGCATTCATCAAAGTTTGACTTAAAACAGTTCATCTAATTCAAAACAAACATTAACTAAACAAGAGACTTGTGACACAGAGAGAAAATGGGAAGATTCTTTTACAAGCTATACCTAACCAATGGCCAAAGTGTGTTTCCAGCAGTTACCTATTTTTCTTCCTAGAAAGAATCTGAGAAGTCCCTTGATGTCTCTTTCGGAGGTGGTGGTAAAATGCAGCGGCCTGTATATATCAAAAGGTAAAAGACATCAATGGCCTGTTTTCCTTGGGAGACAGGATAACAGCCACAGCCTGGCTGCTGCTGGAGCAGGGATCCAGCTGGCTCCGCAATGGGCACTTCTCTGTCCGGCCTTTAGGCAGTGACCTGGGAGCCTCAGCCTGATCCCCAGAGAGCAACATTCAAGTAAAACACATTTTTAAACCTGGCGTTTCACCAAGAGGTGAAGGATCCAATTAACAACTAAACAATTAACCTCACGGGTTGAGCCTTTCAGAACAGAAACCTCAGACTGTGCTTGAGACATACTCTTGGATAAAACGCTCTGGCAGCCTTGTATGTATGGCAAAACCAGGGGTTTATATGGGCTGTTGGTCAAGGCTCATTAAAGGCAATAATGTCTCAGACAAAACAAATTCTCAGTGCCACACATTGGAGCCCTTCCCCTGAACTGAAGGGAATTTAACAAACCTCGGATCTAAGATCTTCTTAGAAGTTTTTAATTAAAATGACACCATCATTAAAGTCACTCTACACTTACTGAAGAGGTAATAAGCTCCACCACATTAGCATTACTCCCCAGCCTGAGACATCATCTTATAAGCTGCATAAATCCTTCTTCCACTTGGAAATACAGCACAATCCAATGCTGCAGTTTTGCTACTGGGTTTAAGGGCTGTAACTGCTCCTCACCCATTGCTGGTTCTTGAGAAGCCTGCACTAAACTCAGCACCCTCCCAGCCAAACCCGGAGCACAACATGATTCTTTTGAAAGGAGAACACAGGACTATGGAGCTCTATACATAACTACACAACTGCGCTGCACCCATTGCTCCTGGCCACCCCATTGCTGGGCATGTGCCACCATGCCCAGGCACAACCAGATACAGCTCCAGAGCTGCCCTCTGGTGTTGCTCTTTTTGGCCATGATGACTTCCCAGATGTCTGGTGACTGCGTGGGATCTGCTCACCACTGAGCACCTACAAGGCACAATGCAGAATTAGTTTTCCACCCATCACACATTTTTATTTACGATTCACTGGATTTTGGAGCAGCTTTCCATAACCCATCTCAAAAATATGCCTCACAGAAGCCAGCACACATACTTATTTCTACACAACCACGCAGGTATAAGCCAGTGATCCTGCTTGCTTCCTTCACCCATGCCAGCAAGGGTTTTAAAGTGCTTAACCTCCACTTTGAGACAGTAAACTACAGAATGGACAAGCGCCCTGCCCCTGTCTGAGCATATTCTGTGAACAATGGGTCACATGCACCATGGGGCTACGGACAGATCAGAAAACAACTTGGCTGGCAAGGGGCAGGAGGTGCAGCCACACGAGGGAACGATGCAGACAGGAAAGGATGTTCTGACAGGAGGGCCAGCAAACAGAAGGGTTCCTTCTGCAGGTCCGTTCCCTCAAGCGCTGCTGTACTCTGCAGGGAGTTGATGTGTGCGAGTGCCCAGGACAGGATGGGCAGAGGCGGAGGGGACTCAGGGGTGCTCCTGAGGACTTGCGCAGCTCCTGAGGTGGGTTCTGGGTCTCATCAGGGCTCATTTCAACCGGGACTCATCAAGGCCAAGTTGTTCTCAAAATGTTACGATGGACAATCCCTCCCAAACACACACACAGGGCATGGAGCAGCCCAGTCCTCAACTCTCCTCCATGGGGGCTCTTCCTTTTCCTCCTGGGTCATAAGGACATTACTAGACATAACCTACATGATTAGATGGGTAATGGACCTGCTCCAGTTCTACAGTTGCTGAACATCTGTGTGGCAAGACAATCTTGTATCAAACACTGCTGCTGTCATACAGAAAGAGGGACATATAAACTGGTGGGTTTGATTAATGTTTGGAAGTGTGTATTACGTAAAGAGCAATAAATACTTAGACCTTTATAAAAAATGTATCTGCTTTTTAGGTTACCAGAGGAAAAGGCAGTTTTGTTGTCAACAGGCTGGTAAAAGCTCATTTCACCCAAGTGACAAGAAGCAGGGACACACAATATGGAACAGTTGGTTCATTCCCCTCAACAGTCCCAGTTCCCTCTGTGAAAGCCAGAGAAGTGCAGAGCCTTGCTCCACCTCCTCCAAGGGCTACAATGGGCTGTGAAAATGGCTGCTCTGAGGTGGTGGTGCACAGGAATGTACCCTGGATACTTAGAGTCATTCATTACAGATGGATTATACAGCTGTCATACAAACCCCAACAACAGCTTAAATACTTCACACTGCTCTGCATTTAAATAAGCCAGGAACTTCCCTCTTTTGAGACATTCCCATCAACAGATTTCTGCTTTGGTATCTGTGAGATGATCTCTTCTCACCAAGTATCTTATTCAAGAGACCCAAAAGATGCAACTCTGGATTTATTTTATTTCCAGAATTTTCTGCAGCCTCATGACCTAAGACTCACTTCACAAGACTGAGCATCATTATTTC